ATAGAAGAAAAGATTGATAAATTCAACTTTACAACGAAAAATCCATAGCACAGCCATCTCATGTCAGGTCAACTCAAACAATAAATTGGGAAAGATATTTGCAACTGGTATCACAAATGAGAGCTAAGTTTCCTGATTGTTGTTGTTAAGGGCCAACAAGTTGGTTCTGACGCATAGCGACCCTGTATGTTTCTAAGGAATGGTTGGTGAACTTGAACCACCAACCTTGCGGATCAAACTGCATTCACTGGCAGCACCACACCAGGACTCCAGTTTTCTGATTGTTGTTGTTGTTGTTAAATGCCGTTGAGTCAGTTCCAACCCTTAGCGACCCTGTACAGGGTTTCCAAGGCTGTAAATCTTTACGGCAGCAGAAAGCCTCATCTTTCTCCCGTGGAGTGGCTGGTAGTTTCGAACTGCTGACCTTGTGGTTCGCAGCCCGATTTGTAACCACTACGCTACCAGAGCTCCCTGATAGAGTAAGTAAAAAGCACCTTTGACCCAATAAAAAAGTAGAGAAAGGTTCTGAACTGTTTCCAGAAAAGGACATACAGAAAGCATTTACACATGAAATGGTCAATATGAGAAAATATGAATTCTATAATAAGAGAAATGCAAGTTACAAAATTCTGGATTTTTTTTTTTTTTTTTTCATCTTTGAAGTTAGCCATGATCCAAAAACTTGATACCACACTTCTCTGCTAGGGCGAAGAGAAAAAACTATTGTAAATCATGCTGGTGATAGGTGAATCTATCCTGTTTCTTTTATGGAAATATCACAATACCTGAAACATGAGGCTTTCTGCTCCCATATAGATTTATAGCCTCGGAAACCCTGTACAGGGTCGCTATGAGTCGCAAATGACTCCACAGCACATGATCACTACTATAGTGTTAAACCAGCAACTCCACATCTAGAAATTTGTGTTGTAGATATACTGCATATACATACATGGGAAATCATGTTGTTATGTGCTGTCGAGTCGATTCTGACTCACAGTGACCCTGTAAAGAGTTTCTGCGACTGTACCTCTTTGCAGAAGCAGAAAGCTTCTACAGCCGAACTTGTGGTTTTGTTGTCCAGTGCTTATCTTTCTGAGCCACAGTGTTCCCATAAAATGATGTAGGAGCCATAATTTTTATTGCAGCATTACTCATAAAAGCAAAAGTTTGAATAATCTCTGATAAATCACACAATGGGATGTTCTACATCTGTGAAAATGAAACAGTGAGGACAAGTTCTGTGTACTGATATGAAAAGTTCTCTCAGAATAGTATACTGCTAACTGATAAAAAGCCAGGTAAGTAATGTTACTCCACCATTTGTGTAAACCTGAGGTTAGGGTAGAGGTAACATTGACGGGTTCCGTGGACAAAATAGTGAATGAGCTAGGAAGCATCTAAAGAAGATGGAAGTAATGTACAGTCACTGTACCAAGAAATAATTGGTCAGTGTTCAACCTTTTCAGTAGGTAGCATAGTACTGAACCGATAGTGTTGAAGGAAGAAGTTCAGGCTGCACTGAAGTTGTTGGCAAAAAACAAGACACCACTGGTTGAAGGAATACAAATGGAAAATTTTCAACAAACATGCAGCACTGGGAGAGAACAAACAAGATGGCGGATTGGGTGGAAGTGCAGTGAGGAACTCCGTCAGAAACAACACAGAATACCGACCCAAGCAGGCTCAAGAGATGGTCCCAGAACGCTAAACCACATATACAGTAATATTTAGAAGGTTGGAAGACTTATAGCTAGGAGAATTTGTAGCAGAAGCAAGAAATCCAGCTGCTCCTGGAGCCACCATCTTGGGCAAGACCAAGTGGGGGAAGGATCACAGCAGCCACGGATGCCTGAAAGAACCATGGAGATAAAGGTGTGGACTTTCTTTTTTTTTGTTGGTCTCTGTTCATTGGTGTCTCACTGTCTGTGTACCTCCATTCTGGTGACTAGAGGGGGTGCCAGAGTGAGTGGACACCCCACCCCCAACCCCACTCCAAGAGGGTTCTACTACACATGCACACAGATCTCCTCAAAATTTAAAGTGAATGTAAAACTGATGCTCTGACCTACACCTATGGAAGCAGTAGCTCAAAAAAGGGAATAAATCCTTACAGCAAGAATCATTCCCACCCCCTCCACAGACGGGATGGGCAACTTGGACATTGGCTACCCAAAATGGGGGATGGGGGGGCTACAAAGGCAAGAAGTGACTGGCTTACAAGCTTTCAAGAGGGAACCTAGATACAGAGGGCTTGGAGGAAGGTAGAACTCCAGTGAGTAGTATTCAATCTGACTAGGTGGGGCTGATGCAATGAAATGCAGACGGGTCTCTTGTGATACAATAGTGAATAATTGTTATCAGGACTGATTGTTAGGGTTGGAAATGTAAAGGTAGACGTTTTATAGCAAGGAGGGAAGTGATTAACTTTTCAGTCTAGGAGCGGAGGTCCCTGGGACCATCAAAGGAGAAGAGCGGAGAGCAGGACCCTACCCAGAGAAGCAGTGACGCCTGAAATGGAGCCAGAGATGATGATGTGGAGCGATGGAGCAGCTGGAGACTTTAGATCCAGAGAGGGAGAGCGACTGTGTGCTGAAGACCGGGGGCAGGCTTGCAGGGTATACCCTTTGGTTGGTTGATGATGCATGGAGGGGATTGTAACCATGGCAATGAGACAATGAGACAATATAATGAATGTAAAATTAATGTTCTCCCATGTAAACTATCACATAATTCACAATAAAACATTAAAAAACAAAACAAAAACTGATGCTCTGCCCTGTAAAATTGCACTCAGTCCACAATAAAAACCTTAAAAAAAAAAACCATGCAGCACTGGTGGTGCTCACTAAACTATTCCAAGAAATAATGGAAGACAGCTATCTGGCCAGCCTATTGGAAGAGATCTATATTTGTGTCCATTCCAAAGAAAGTGCCCAATGGAATGTGAAAATCATCCAACAGTGAGTGTCATTAATATCACGTGCAAGTAAAATTTTGCTTAGGATAATTAAAAAAACAGCTGCGACAGTAAATTGACAGGGAACTGCAAAAAATGAAAACAGGAGTAAGAAGAGGATGTAGAATGACAGATGTCATTGCTGGCATCAGATGGATTATGACTAAAAGCAAAAAAATACCAGAAAGTTGTTTACTTGTGTTTTATTGACTATGCAAAGGCATTCAAATTGTGTGGATCAAAATAAACTATGGGTAACATAGTGGAGAATGGGAATGCCAGAACATTTCATTGTATGCACGAGGAACCTGTAGACAGAGACATAGAACAAGAAGTAGTCATCAGAACAGAACAAGATGATTTGAATAGGTTTAAATCAAGAAAGGTGTGTGCCAGGGTTGTATCCTTTTACCATATTTATTCAATCTGTATGCTGAACAAAGAATTTGAGAAGCTGAATTATATGAAGAAGAATGTGGTATCAGGATTGGAGAAAGAATAATAGCCTGTGACATGCAGATGACATAACCTTGCTTGCTGGAAGCAAAAAGGAGTTAAAATATTTACTGATGAAGATCAAGGACTACAACCCTCAATATGAATTGTATCTCAATATAAAGAAAACAAAAATCTTCAAAACTGGACTAGTGAGTCCAATTGTTAAAGATTTCATTTTGCTTGGATCCACAATCAACACTCATGGAGGCAGCAGTCAAAAAAATCAAATGACATGTTGCATTACACAGATCTGCTGCAATGTTAAAAGAACAAAGATGTCACTTTGAGCAGTGTGGTGCACCTGCCCAAGCCATGGTATTTTCAGTAGCCTTATATGCATGTGAAAGTTGGACAATGAATAAGGAAGACCGGAGAAGAATTGATGCATTTGAATTATGGTCTTGGAGATTATTGAAAGTACCATGGATTTCCAAAAGAACAAACAAGTCTGTCTTGGGAGAAGTACAGCCAGAATATCCTTAGAAGTGAGAATGGCACGCTGTTGCCTCTCGTTCTTTAGACACATTGTTAGGAGGGATCAGTTCCTGGAGAATGACAGCATTCTTGATAAAGTGAAAGGCCAATAAGAGGGAGACTCCGAAGGAGATGCATTGACACAGTGGCTACAACAATGGACTCAAACACAACTGTGAAAATGGTGCAAGACTTAGAAGTATTTCATTCTGTGGTACATAGTGTCACTATGAGTTGGAATTGACTCAATGATGCCAAACAACAACAACAATTTACTTGTAAATGAACTTAGAGATTGTTAATATGTATACAGAAACTGAATACTGTTGATTACTTCTAGGGAAATAACACGGGGCCAGGTAATAGGACTGGGGCGGAGACTTCACTGTATAGACATTTGTACTATTTCACTTTTGAACCTTGTCTGTCCTTCTCAAAATAAGGAAATTTAAAATTCAAATTTAAAAATAATTTGGTACTTGAAAATATTTGCTAGCTGTTTTGATATGTGTAATTCTAACGTTGAGTTACTTTCAGTGTCTTTTCAAATATTGATTAACCTTTTATGATTTTTAATCAGTTGCTTTATCATCTACTTTGTCCATTTTTCTGTTTTCAGTGGTTTATGTTACAAATTAAGGAAATTCATCATTTTTTGATTGTCACAGAAATTTTGTTCTAGTTTTTCTTTTCTTTATGCTGTTTTCTGCCACCTACAACTTTATGTGTGCATGAAGTCATTTTTAGTTTTTTTTCTTTTCTGTTTTCCTTCCTCCTTGCTTCCCTCCCTCCCTTGGTTCTTTCTTTCCTTTCTTCCAGTGTAAGTGGCTTTGCCTTTTATGCTACGTGATTTAAGAATCCAGCAGGAGTGCCTTTGGATGTGTGGGAAAATGACCTGTCCCTTCTAGTTTGAGGACAGCAGCTAAAAGGGGAACAAATTGAGTTTTTGGCAAGGGCTGAACTCGAGGAGCTTCCCTTCAGGCAGAGACACTTGCCTGAGTGGGGTAGCGGTGAGCATGGGGGTGAATCTCATAAGACTCTGCTGAGCCTCTGCTCTCTCCCTTCCCAGCGGAGCTCCCAAGATCCTCTGCGGTGAGGCTGGCGTCCCTGCGGGACCTTCCTGCCCAGCTCCTGGAGCTCTACCAGCAAGGCTTCTGGCTAGCTGCCTTGCATCCGTTTGTGCAGCCAACCCGTGAGCAGGAGAAGACACCCCTCAAGCACATCTTCAGGGCCATCCTGGTCAAGAAAACAGAAAGGTAAGACGTCTGTGTGGTGGAGAATTAGCGTCTAGCTGTGGCTCGTATTGAACAAGGACCCAGTTGAAACGGAACACTGTTCCCAGGACCTCTGTCCTCTCTGACAAATAAAGAGAAAAGCTAGACAACAGGAGGGGAACTTCACAGTATCTTGCAAGGAAACCAAATGCCAAATGCCAAACCTGACTGCATAATTAGAGTTCCATTTTTCATCCTTTCTGTCCTTAATTTATTGCATTGAACTCTGCAGGAAGATGTCTCCTGTGAAGAGGTGTACTCCCAGAATGATACAGCTAGTAAAAGTAGAAGGCTATTAATCTGAATAGCACAGTCGGAAAGCACAATAGTTTTTATAAAGGCTATACACAAACTTGAGGAGCTCTGGTAGCGTAGTGGTTACAAATCGGGCTGCGAACCTTAAGGTCAGCAGTTCTAAACTACCAGCTGTTCCGCGGGAGAAAGATAAGGCTTTCTGCTCCCGTAAAGATTTACAGCCTCAGAAACCCTGTACAGGGTTGCTATGGGTCAGAATCCACTCAACAGCACTTAACAACAACAACAACATATACAAACTTAAGGATCCCTAGTGGCATAGTAGTTAAGTGAAAGCTTGGTGTCAAACTCGCTGGCTGCTCCACAGAAGGAAGATGCGGCTGTCAGCTTCTTTCTATAGGATTTACAGCCTTGGAAACCCTATGGGGCAGTTCTACTCTGACCTGTAGGGTTATTGTGAGTCACAATCAGATCGATAGTGACGGGTTTTATTTTTTGTTTCTTTGTTGTTGTTGTTGTTACTGTTTTATATACAAACTTAAAGTCTTCCCTCAAATTTTAGAAACGCTTGAAAATTTTGAACCCATCATAAATCTGTCAATCACTTATAGGGAAAAAAAAATCTGAATCAAGTGCTATAATTGATTTGGTTTTGATTTTGATTTTCAAGGCTCTTGGTTTGTTTTTTACACTGGCTTGCCTCATTAGAATGCTTACTCTTACATTTTTTATTGAGCCTAATTAGGAAAAGGGAGTCCTGGTGTGGCACTGTAGGTTAATGCACTAGACAGCAAGGTTGGTTTGTACCGCAAGGTTGGCAGTTCAAGCTCACCAGCTACTCCTTGGAAACCCTATACAAGGTTGCTGTGAGTTGGAACTGACTCAATGGCACTAAACAACAACAATTAGGAAAAGGGAGTCCCCAATGATTGTGAACGTTGGCCCAGGATTGGGCACTGTTTTGTTCTGTTGTGCATAGGGTTGCTATGAATTTGACCACTCGATAGCACCTAACAACAACAACAACAGGTCGTCCAAATGGTTAACAGTCTCATTTGACACATTTGGAGTACACCCAGAAGAAAGCCCTGGCGATTTACTTAAGAACAATTAACCACTTTTTGAAAACTCTGTGAGCACAGTTCTGCTCTCACCCACACGGGGTCATCATTAGTTAGAATCGACTTGACAGCAATTAGAAAAAAAAAAAAAACAGGAAAAGAGAGGTGGCGGTTGGTTTTCAAGCAGACCAATATTAATTTTACAGGATTAAAAAAATGAGAGGGAGGTGCAAAGTTCAATATGGTTTTGCTACTTTCATAACAATAAAAATTGAAATGAGGGACTTCCAGCAAGATGGTGGACCAAACAGACCCTCTACAACAAAGATACACAAACAGATGAAAATCCTGGAGCCCAGAACATCAGAGGAAAGGACAGAGAAGTAGACTGAGTACTTGCTGGGAAGAGAATCTCAGAGATGGTGAGAGAGGGAGACTTACTAGTGAACAGCTGGCCATTCCAGCATGGCCGTCTTGAACTTTTATGAGCAGCTTTGGTGACAGAAGGTGGCCTGGCAGAGCAGATTTGCACAGGTGAAGGGAAAGGTGTGATTCCTTCTTTTTCCCCATCTTCCTCTGGTGACCGGAGCTGTGGCTACCTTCCACCCTCATCCACCCCCAGTGCAGACCCTGCTTTCTGGAGTTTCGGAGCCCCGTGGTTGTGAGCTACGCTAGTGTGATGTGGGGGGCCCAGCTATTCCATTTTGGTGCCTGTATCTAGGCAGGCTGGGCTTTAGACCTACGTAGCCCACAGAGTCACCACACCAGCAGTAGTCTAGCAGAAACTCTTGTAACCACTTACGATGCCTCCAGCTGCCCTGTGGTCCTAACATACACTGAAATCAGCTCCATCAAGGACCTCCATGAACTACTTCCAGATTGAGGGCCTTGAGCATAGGTAACACCTTGGCCTATGAGAGCTCCATGTAGGACTCTGCTCTCACATACCGCTTTGTGAGCTCCTTGTCTGGCAGGAGGCCTCCACCCCCCCACCCCCCCACCCCACCCCCGAGTTTTCTCATGCCAAGTCCCAAGAGCTGCACTGTTTTGTTTTGTTTTTTTCCTTTCATTGTTTCATGGTTTTTGTTTGCTTATTCCTTCTTTTCCATCTTCTCTTTCCATTCCCTTGAATTGTATCCTTTCTTTTTCTACTTTGGTTTTTCCTTTTTTTCCTGTTCTCATTTCCACTTTTTCCCTTTTGATCTTTCTTTTTACTACTCTCTCTTTCTCTTTTCATCCTTCCTTGCCCTGGTTTTTCTAAGTGGTTTCTTTCTTCTTCCTTTTATTTTCTCTCTTAGTTTTCTCTTTTGTAGCTCCATTTTCCTCTCCCTTTTTTCACTTTTTTAGGGAAGTGAACAGGGTACAATTCAGTATCAGAAAAACTCATGATGCAGCAGTTCTCCAGTCAAGAACACCTCTTGTCTGCCTTTCTACAGGCTTGCCTCTCTCTTACCGTTGACCTCTCAGCCATGTCGTCCCTTGGCCTCTGTCCTTCTCCAGCAAGTGTTATAAAGTTCTTTTAGTCAGTTTGTGAAGGCCCAAAGGACACATTGTACAAGGCAGTCTCCTGCCCATAGGCACTCAGCTTTGTTCAGTACAAGGGCTAGAGCTTGCAACTGCTCTGTCTTTCCATGCCACCATCTCTGCCTTTGCCTCTGCTGTTACTGCTTTTCTAAGGAGGGATTTCACACTCATGCTCTTCCTTCTTGATGATCTTGGGTCATCCTTCCTGCTTCTGAGATGGCTCCTTTTAAACCTAGCTGGATGGCAAAAGTTAACCAATCCATCTTAGAGTCCTATGTATATTATTTGCATGATCCCACCCTATCTCTTGACGGGTATTAAGAAGAAATTGGATAGAAAAACCATATCAAGTAAATTCAAGGTACCACAGAGGAGTACACCGTAGATTTTTCTGGGGCCGCATTTTCTAGATGACACAGTGAAGGGTTGAGACTAAATGCTTTCCATGGCCTGTTCCAATTCTAAAAAGTATCTGATAGGGTGAAATTGGCAAGGAAACCCTTCTTCAGGAATAGGTACCTCTGCTTCTCGGACTAATCTATTACAAGCCAGCAACGGAGCTGGGGTGCTAAAAGGGGTTTCTTTACTTATACTGAGGGCAGGATGTGCACATATCAACTTACTTTCTGGAACAGGAAAATGAATAAAGCTATTAAGATAAGACACTGGTATAAACCTTGGAGGGTTTTCAAGAAAGGGAAGATGTCAGTGTCCCTAGTTTGAGTTTACTCAAGTTCAGAGTCATCCAGCCTCCTGGATAACTTTCATGAACATTACAAGCTCCTTGATAAGCAGATACAGAGAATGAAATTCCTTGGATAGCTTTTGAGCTGGGTCATTGGAACTACCTTCTTTTAAATAAAGCAGCAAATTCTTGGTAATTTACCATGTAGAATTTAAATTTAAAAATGACTAAGAGGCTCTCGCTTACTCCCATTCCCAGCAGTATTGGGATTGGAAGAGTGGTGAGGTTGGTGGGAAGCAAGGATGTTACAAGATATAATTTTAAAGTACAAGTATGTTCTCTGCTTGCAAATATAATAACCATATGTTTTTCCATCAAAGACTTCACACTATTAAAACAAAACAACAAAGGGCACTGCAGAACATTTTCTGTGTCAGTGGGAAGCTTAAAGATACTAAAAACAAAACAAAGAAAAACTTATGTGATTAATTTTTAATAAGAACAATTGAAATGATATTTTTCACAAAGTCTGCCAATGTTCTGACAGCTATTGATGCTGTTAAATGAAATTATTTAGCTCTCAGAAAGGAAGTAAATGCCTGGTTAATACTCTCCAAGTATGTTGTTGTTGTTGTTGTCAGGTGCCATTGAGT